TAGCTAATGCAAAAAGTGTGTCCTTGATTCTAACTATTGCAAAGATCATGTCATTATTTCAAGGCAATTAAAATTTACACACCTATTTTGAAATCTAGTAAGAGTTCATATCTTTAATTTTTTTTTAAACAAGTATAATTTTTGGGGAATGGGGAAGAGTTTAAACTTAATTCATAAGATTAGAAGATACACTTTTGATCAAGTGATCTATAAAATCAGATGCATTTAATTATATCTTTATTTATGATTCTTGATTTAATAAATACTAATCTAGCAAATTGCTATATGCTAATGGAGATTTAATTTAGTGTATAAAGGATGTGGAACTATATCTTTAGCCATTGAGGAAAGGAAGAGAAAGCAGCATCATTAAATTTACAAGAGGAGAATGAGAATAATTATAATTCCTTCGGTAGCTATACGATGAACTGGTCTTGATCCTACGATAAATCACACAGTCGGGAGCCTTCTCTCAGAAGGACAAATACTGAATTCCTCTGTTTGTTACAAAAACATAAGCTCCTGCCAAAAAAACAAACTGTTAAGCGAACAGAACACCAAAAAATGATTGTAAGTAAAGAATCAAACCAGAAATATAAAAACATCGTACCTAGCGTGGGCTTTAGAAAGGAGAGTGCTGCAGTTTCAGCAATCTCGGGGGGCAACCCTGTCTTAGTCATATCCGAGATCTCAATGTGCCTATCCTCAACCCGACAATATTAGACCGGGTCCCTGTCGGAAGCAAGAAAGCAAACTGAGCTCCAATGTCTACGGAGGCCATAAGAAGCAGGGGAGGGACGTGCATGGTTTGTGCAATTTGGATGAGAAGCGAGATAAGGAGGGTCGTCGTAGCATTGTTGGATGTGAATTCTGTGATTGTTGCGCTGATCAGGCAGACAGCCGTTGCACTCATCCCTTCCACGGCGGCGGCGTCGTATATCACCCCAAGTACCACTGCGTTGCAGAAATTGCAAACCACGTTTGACTGTGAGGGTCCCACGGACATTCGCTGGAGGATCCCGGTTGCTACGTGCATCCTCGATCATCATGGCGGCGGCGACGTTGTGCATCCACATGCTGACGATCGCAGTCGTGGCACAGATGCCCAGGAGGAGTAGGGGTGGCTTCAATGGATCTCCGCAGGACCGCAGAACAACAGCGTTATCTGTGTGGCCGACATTGATTAAGTATTCATCGTGTAGTAATGATATCCGTACAACTATTTACATTTGTACACCTATCCTCAAAAATGTATGGTGCAATTGTACTTAGGAAAATCAACCTTTTTCATTTTGGTCATATTAATAGGAAGATCTAGGAAGCAATCATAGCACTAATTTCGTTGGATAAGATGCATGTTTATTAAAACTAAAATCTTAATTATAATATTTGTAAAATCAATCTCCCTTTTCTAAATTCTCTCACGTTCAAAAAAAAAAAAAAATCATAGGATCCATGGAAGCAGAGGGTCTACAAATTCTTACACAATTATTGACTGATTGGTGTTCCACTACACTAGAAACTCTGTTGTAAAATCTTTGAAAACCTTTAGGAAATTGATAGACAACTTACTTTTTATCATTTCATCCTTTAGTGTTACTTGATCACTATCATATATTTTTTTTAAACTCCTTTAATTTCTTGGTTGTACTTTCTGCACGTTTCTATTCTTGAAGATGAATACTTTCTGCCATAGTTATAAATTCGAGACATTTCTGATACCAAATGAAATAGACTAAAAAAAAATGGGTAAGAGTAGAGATAGAATCAGAGTGAGGAAGAAGAGAAAATTGCAAAAAAGAGAGTCAAGAGGAAGAGAGATTCTGGAAAAAGTCATTTCTTCGTAATTCCACACCACACTATAATTCGATCAAAACAAAATACAAACAGTAGACACACTAATAGCCATTAACTTCCTATATCTACTACCACAAACTGATGATTTTGGAGAAGTTGCCCAAATCAGCAACCCAGGGAACTGGCATTGCATCAAATCAGCAATACAGGGAACTGGCATCGTCTCATTGGGATTGATGAGTTGTTCATTAAATCTGACGATCGAATTCTCAATTGCTAATATCTAACAATACCAACTTACTAATCATTGTTCTTATAAAAAAAAAAAAAGAAAGCACCGTTATGATTATACAACAAATTATTGGGATGGCATAAATTTTTCAAGAGTTACTTATATTTAAATTGGGGGGAGGGGAATGGGAGGGAGGAAAATTTTAACTAAAAAATTAAATTAAAACTAAAATTTAAATAGTAGGGTTTCAGCTCAGCTCTCCTCCTCCTCCTCCACCTCCTCCCCCTCCGGTTATTGTTCTGTTCCCTAGCTCGTCGGTAATTTGTTTACTTTTTTTTTTTTTTTTTTTTTTTTTTTTGTCTTGTTGGTGTGATTATGATCCGACGGTTCTTCTTTGGGATTTACATCAACAGTTACTCGTAACTGCCGCTGTTTATCGTTTTATCTTCGCATTGAAGTTGAGATGCCACAATCATGTGTGGACGGGACCAGGCAACCTTACATCATGGCAGTTGTCTATTGGACATGATGCCGCAGCCGGATCGGTTCTGTTAAAGACGCTTATGACACGTAGCGGAGCCGTTTGAGGGGATGAAGTGGTAATAATATTTTACGATTTAAAACTTTCAAGTAGCTGACAATTTAATCTTTAACTTTTAAAGAGTAACAACTAGATCCTTTAGCATTAAGATTACTTACAAGAGTTTTTTATTTTACTTTATTTTAATAACTTAGGTTTGAGGCTTGGAAAAATATATGAAGAAAGTAATTAACTTCACGGACACTCCTATAAAAAAAATAGTTTATTTAGCTTGTATTCTTAGATTGCAATCAATATACCCTTCGCTCCAAAAAAATTAAAATAAAAAATACATGTTATGACATTTTTTATTATGATGATTTGCACTAAAATTATACTATAATAATATTTACAACGACCTTTTTGTAACGGCTTGTGCTGAAAAAGAGCGTTGTAAATGGGGGTTATTTTAGTGCTTTTATAAAAAATTAATCTTATTTTAATATCATTTTTACATAAATAATTTTAATTGATTAATTAAATAAATTAATATTAATATTAATATTTATTTAAACAAATTAATTATAAAAAATAATAAATACATCATTAAAACTCTAAGAAAAAAATAGATAAAGAAAAAAACAATTTACAAACATCCGTGAGAGCTTCACTTTCATACTTTTTTAAAATAACTTGGGTATACGAGGCTTTGACCTAAACTTAATTAATTCAACAAATATTTGCAAAATGTTTCATTTACAAGTGTTAGCTTCACTTTTTAAAGATAGAGAACCATAATCTACTAAAACTGTTTGCATCTAAATGGCATTAAAAATAGTTAAACATACATTCTAAATATGATATAAATTAATTATCAAGCATTTGATCAAATCTCAAAGAATAATCTTATATTGGAATTGAGGGGAATGAAAAGGAGGAAAAAAGAGGAGACGGAAAGAGAATTATATCACTTTATTCTTTTTTTCTCTCTTTCTCTCATTTGGATAAGTATTTAAATTAAAAAAATAAAATAAAAAAAATTGTCACCTCCTTTGCCCTTCAATTTTTTAATAATTAAACAGAGTTTTTTTTTTCTTCTCACCTCCTTTCATTTTTTTTTACCTAAATATATTATAAAAGACAATATTATATTTAACAAGTAAATTTTTTCATTTAATTAAAATAATACTATTAGTTTCTTTTTAAAAAAAATAATTTTTATATTCCAAATCACATTATACTACATAAAAATAAAATTAACCATAAAACGGTGAGAAGCGCTATGATATAAGAGGGGGCTC